GGGGGGAGCAGGCTGGGAGACACGCTCAGCCGCCCCCCAGCATCCCCACCTTCCCCCGTCACCCGTGGAGCTGTTCCAGGAGGAGGGACCAGCCCAGGACTCACCAGCGGCCCTGTGCCCAGCCCGAGGTGTGTGTCATCCAGAGTGGAGGGTGTCCTCTGTGGGGGCTGCGTACCTGGCTCGCTGCCACTCCAGCCTCCTGTGTGCGGGGCATGTTCTCAGGAGGCCCTGGCCCTGGAGAAGTACACCATGCTTGGTAAAGCGCAGGGTCTCCACAAAAGACCAACCTTCATCCAGATGGGCTGATCCAGGGGTTGCAGCTGGATAGCTGTGAGGAGGGCACAGGACCAGGTGTTTGTGCATTGGGTCGCCGCATTGGGTCGCCGTGGGTCAGAACCCACTCGCTGGCCCCTCACCAGGACAGCATGCAGGGCAGATTCCAGGGGATAGGTGCTCCTCTCTTTTTGGGTGGTCCTGAGTCCCTGGAAGAAGCTCCGAGTTGTCCAGAGTAGACAAGGGTGAGAGTAGGGGCCAGGGGACCTTAACTGGTGGGACTATGGGCCTTGGACTGGCCACTGACTTTCCCTGGGGCATGCTTCCTGCCTGTGCCACTTGAGTACTTGGAGGTCAAGGTAATGCACCGGGCAGACTGCAGGACTGTCCTCCCACTGCTTGCCCCCCAGCCCTGGCTGTGCACCTGCCACAGGGAGTTGCAAAGGTGCCCATGAGAATGTAGCCCATGAGAAGCCATCCACCTGTCCCCACTGATGTGATGTATCTACCCAGAGCTGTGTGGCCACCACGTAATCACCCGGAGACACACAGGTGGTCCCCACCTCGCCCCCTCCCAGCTTCAGGAGGTGATGGGAAGAAGCGCTTGAAGCCACAAGACCCGGGTTCTAATCCCAGTGTCTTGCCTGCTGGGTAAATGACTTCCCTGTTCCCTACTCCCTGCTCCGAGCTTCTGTTTCTTTCCTCAATACTGGGGACCAGAGCTCCCTAGGCCACTTTCCATGTGGGTTCCAGGGATGCCTTTCAGGACATCATGGGTGTGAAGACATTTGTCGGATTCAAAGGCAAGTGTGCAGAGAGCTGGGATGGGGGCTGGGCTTGGGACCCAGGCCGTCTTCAGAGCCCTGGGCTGATTCCCATTGGGCCATACTGCAGAGCCCCTCAGCTACTCCCAACCCCCACCCCATCCCCTCTAGCCTGGACACCTGGCCTAGGTCTCCCTCTTTGAGGGGTGGCTTTGCAATGTATCCGGTGCAGCTAAGAAGCAGTCTCCTGGTCGGAGCCCTCCGCTGTCCCTGTTTCCATGTGGTGCAGACCCCTTGACTCCTGCCAGGGGCCGTGGGTCTGAAGGAGGGGGCATCCCTGTAAAGAGACCCGGCAAATTAAGTTGCTCTTAGAACTTCTGCTGGCCACCCCGTCATTCTGCTCCGACTCGCTGGCCAGCACCCACCCCAGGAGACCTCCTTCAACATCAGGAGCACCCACCTCTGAGATGGTCAGCCCACCCTACTGAAATTCCCCCTTGGAGGCTTTAGTTCGACCCTCGGGAGGCACACACAGCAAGGTGGACCCCGTTAAAGTCAGGATAAACAAGCATCCTGTTTCCAAGTCGGAGCCCTGGTGGTGTATAAGTGACATGTTGGGCAGCTCAAGGTCAGCAGTTCAAACCCAGTAGCCCGGCCATGGGAGGAAGATGAGGCTGTCTGCTCTGGTAAATTTGTGCAGGCTCAAACCGACGGGCAGTTCTACTCTTTCCTATAGAATCGGAATCCACTTGGTGGCATTGAGTTTTGGTTGTTTTTTTTTCCAATTCCCAGGGCCCTGGGGGGAGGTTGCTTCAGCCTGAGGCTGTAAGTTCTGTCCGGTGGTCCCGAGCCCACCACAACCCTGTGCTGTACCTGCTAGGGTGGCTGGTCTCTGATCCTCAGCAAGGGTGGCAGGGGCCCCGCATTTCCAGTGTGTTTCCTGGACTGGCTGTGTGTCTGGCCGGGCACTAGGGGCTCTGTCCATCTTCCTGGGGCTCGGTGCTTCCCGCCTGTGCCTTGGGCGGGTGTGTGTGCTCCCTGAGGTGGGGGCCAGAGTCTCCCACCCACGTCCAGCTCCGGGCTGTTCTCTTGTTCACCTCGGAGGCTCCTGGGCTCACTGCACCGCGTAGGAACCGCGTAGGACTGGCACTGACCTGCTTCTCCAGACAGTTGACCCTACACTCCCTCCCCCTCCCCCCCGCTGGGGGTATCCCCTCACCTTTTTTCTTTTTTTGGACCCTTCATTGGTGAAAACTCTGCTGGCCCCACAGAGCCCCCGGGACCTGACTCCAGGGCCTGGCACCCCCTCCCTCTCCCCTCCCCCTGACCTTGTGGCTTCTCTTGTCCACTCCTGTCCTGTCTCTCTGATCTTCTCCGGCTCCCCCAGCCACTCGGACCACCCCTTGTGTTTACCCTCCCCTACTGTGCCAGGCTGTGGCTGAGGGTCCCGGCTGCTCCGCCCACTCTTCTGCTGCGGTTGACAACGCGTGTGGGCCTCAGCTGTACTGCCCAGGGGTCCGTGGCCCCCCCAAGCCCCAGGGGCCCTCCGTGCACCTCCACTCCAGGAACCTTCCAGGGTTGGGGGGATGCCCAGTGCCAACAGCCTATGTTCCCGGGACCATGAGGTGAACAGGCTGCCAGGGGCCTGAGGTCGGCAGGATCTGGCTACGAGTGACCACTCCCCACCGTGCTGTGAAAGAGTTCCCAGAGGGAGGCTGTGGTTGGGGGTCACACAGTGAGCTAGCTAGCGTGAGGACTGGGATTAGGGGCCCCCTAGACTCACAACCTCTGCCTCTCCAGTAGCCCTTGTCCCCCCTCGGGCTGAGGCAAGGTCGGGGTCCGATGCGAAGGTGTAGGCATTGGAAGGGCTAATCCAGAGATTTGTAGGCCCCCCAACACTCTGTGCCCTCTGTAAGGCCTGGCAGATCCCCCCATCCCCCGCATGTGGCAGTGTGCTGAGCGAGGGGACAAGACTGAGGCTGCTGCTTGGCCCCGTGGGGCCCTTGGTCCTGTAGCGAGAGGACTGAAATGCCAGGGGCTCTGCTCAGGATGCCTGACTGCCTTTGGACCCCGAGGACTCCTATGGTGAGGGTGAAGGATCATGCCTGACCTCAGTGGCAGCCTGGCCTTCTCCAGGCGGGAGGAGGAGGACAGTTCCTGGAGGGGTGGTGCCAGCTCCTTCGGACTCTGGGGGCCAATGGCCTTGGGAAGGGGACCCTGGGACTGACCCCTCTGTTGAGCTCAGAGCCCAGAGTTGTCACAACCCGGGCTCTGGGCAGGGAGTCGTCTCAGAGTAGGGGAGGTAGGGACCCAGGCCTCCCCCTACCCATCTCCCTCCTAGAAACTTGGGAGAAGGGGGTTGGCCAGGCCCTCAGCCCTCCCCACTGACCCCCTGTACGGCTGGGGTCCCCAAGGTGCCCATCTCCCTCAGACAAGAGGCCTGGGCCCCTCTAAGAAGGGGGGCACAAACCCTCTCCCATCACCCAGCTGCCCTGCTCCCACCTCCGGGGAGGGTCAAAGCCCTTTTGGGGGCCAAGGGACAGGGGTCCAACTGAGGAGGGGGAGACGGCACCTGTGCACGCGTGGTCCCCGGAAAGTGGCCCCGGGGGGAAAGCCCCGCCCGCAGACACTGGCTCCCTGTGAAGGATGTAAAAAAAAAAAAACTTGTTTTGCCTTTTTGTCTCCCCCCCTCCTCTGCCCACCCCATGGCCCCCCCAGACTGCCTGCGCGTCGGCTGCGCACCCAGTAAGTGGCTCCTCTCTTCTGCAGAGACCCAAGGGGACTAGGACGCTGGACATTGGGGTTAGAGGGGGGAGTGGTGGGGGAGGAGGTGCTTCGTTTCTGGTTCCTATGGGGTTTGGACAATGGGTGGGGGCTATGGTGCGGAAGGCAGAATGGACGAAGGGAGCAGAGGGTGATGGTCAGGAAGCCCCCTGGGCGCTGGGAAGGCGAGGCAGATCCCCTGCGGCATGATGGGGAGGGAGGCGGTGGGCTAGGGGAAACCCCTGGGGCGACTCCGCTGCAGCTCCGGCGGTGGCCACATGGCGGCGAGCAAGCCACGCGGGAAGAAGACGAGGGCGGGGAGCCGCGCGTGCTCGGAGTCCCAAGCGTGCGCGTGAAGTGGGGGCGCGTTTCTGACAAACAGGGGTTCTCTCAGCGGGAGCGGGAGCATGGACATTCCTGAGCGGCCGAGCGTGGCAGGGGTCGATGCTCTGGACGTTTCTGTGTGCCGGTGCTGAGCGCGCCAGCCCTCTAGGCTTGGTGGGCAGCCAAGTCTGTGTTCCTGGTGTGTGTGTGTGTGTGTGTGTACCCTGGGCACATGTGGGGACCCTACTTGTCAGCCACCACCACCAGATGCCCTCATGGCAAGTCCCAACCCAGAGTGCCCCCGGGGTGTCTTGGTGGACCGGTGCGGTGCCCCATCTGGTGTGCGGCTGATTTGGGGAATCGGGTTGCCAGGCCTCTCTTCCAAGGCGCCTTTGGGTGAACTCAAACCTCCAACCTCTTGATGGAGCAGCCGGGTGCGTTTCCCACTTGCCTCGCCCGACAGCTCTGCAATGCCCCTGCCCGCAGCTTCAGTGAACCCCGGGGAGGAGCGGGGATGGGGATGGGGTGCTCAGACCTTCAGCCAAGTTTGAGAGAGGAGTATGCTTTGGGAAGTGGCCCTCGCGGCTTTGACTAAACTGCCGTCGTTCCTAAGAACGAGCGAGGCAGTCATGTGCACACCTGTGTGGAGGCGGTGCAACCTGGCCTTGAGTCCAGCCTTTGTGTGGCCCTGGTTGTGGGACCCTGCTGCTGGCAGAGTAGCGGCAGAGGGGCAGCTCACATGGGATCCTAGGGGAGTGGCAGCCCTGAGGCCACCTGCTTCGGCAATGCTGAGTGGGCTGTGTGTGTGTGCAGGTGTGTACCGTGGGCAGGTGCACCCCTGCGTGGCCAGGCACTCTGCGGTCTCTGGGGCTGGACCATGGAGGCCAGCGTGAGCCGGAATCAGTCCGAGTTCACTCCCTCCTTGGTGCCGCAGGTAAGGGCCCGGAGACGCTGTTTGCGGGGCACAAGCTGAATGACAATGAGTGGCATACGGCGAGGGTGGTGCGGCGTGGCAAGAGCCTGCAGCTGTCCGTGGACAACGTCACCGTGGAGGGTAGGTGACCCAGGGCTGACGAGGTCAGCCATGTTCTTAGTAACCACGGAGGGCGTGGCCACTCTGAGGGGACCATCTGGGCAAGGTGCCCCTGTCCGTTCCTCCCTGAGGGTGTATCTTAGGGGGGCCTGGATCCCAGGGGCCATTTCCCTGTGTCCCCTCCTCCCTCTACCCTGGAGCATTTCCACAAAAGCGTGCCAAGACTCCGAGAGTTCCCTCCACTCTTCCCGCCCGCTGGGAGCTCCGTGTTTCAGCGGCCACGGCCACCCCTCCCATGCCTACCGGGCGGCTCTCATGCTTCCTGGTCCTCCCTGCCTGCAGGCCAGATGGCGGGCGCGCACACGCGGCTGGAATTCCACAACATCGAGACGGGCATCATGACGGAGCGGCGCTTCATCTCTGTGGTGCCCTCCAATTTCATCGGGCACCTGAGCGGCTTGCTCTTCAACGGGCAGCCCTACATGGACCAGTGCAAGGACGGCGACATCACCTACTGCGAGCTCAACGCGCGCTTTGGCTTGCGCGCCATCGTGGCCGACCCGGTCACCTTCAAGAGCCGCAGCAGCTACCTCGCGCTGGCCACGCTGCAAGCCTACGCCTCGATGCACCTCTTCTTCCAGTTCAAGACCACCGCCCCCGACGGCCTGCTCCTCTTCAACTCCGGCAATGGCAACGACTTCATCGTCATCGAGCTGGTCAAGGGGTGAGCAGCTGGCCTGGCCTCGCCCTCCTGGGAGTGGTCCCCTTCCCCTGCTGGCCAGGAGAGGGCTGGCTCAGACCCAGTCCCTGCAGCTGCTTCTTTAGCGACCCCACCCAGAGCCGCTCTGCCCCCGCTTCCAGAGGCCCCACTGACCCCCAAACCTCTCCTGGGTCCCTGTCGCAGGCCCTGCTCCTCTCTGTCCCCACCCTCCCCAGGAAGGGACCTCCCGCTGGAGCTCCCCTGCTGCTGGTGTGAGCCCCTGTTCACCTCCGGCTGCACCTGGGTGCCTTCTACTCCTGCTGCCCCGCCCCGCCCGTACCCCGTCCAATCAGCTCTCCCCCGTGACGCAGTGTCCCCTCCCCTCCTGCGGGGCAGGTACATCCACTACGTGTTTGACCTGGGGAACGGCCCGTCCCTGATGAAGGGGAACTCGGACAAGCCAGTGAACGACAACCAGTGGCACAATGTCGTGGTGTCTCGGGACCCAGGCAACGTGCACACGCTCAAGATCGACTCGCGCACGGTCACGCAGCACTCCAACGGCGCACGCAACCTGGATCTCAAAGGTGGGCGTGGCGCCCGGAGCCGGCCCTGCTGCAGCTCGGGACTCCCCACCTAGCTGCTCCTGCCCCAGCCCGGCTTGCTCTGCTTGCTCCATCCCAAGGGGAGCCAGTGGGCAGCCCGGCTGGTCCACCAAGCAGGGAGCAGGGACTGGGAGGTAGAGGAGAGAACTGGGCGTGGCCTCCGGCAGCTGCTACCCCCAGCTGGGGGGTGGGGGGAGCTGGCATTGGGGGCACAGTCAGTTGATGAGGGAGGGGGGCTTGCAGTAGCTAGACCCCTCGATGCTGCCCCCCACCGGCTGTCTTGGGCATTGACTGGGCTGCCTCTGGGGACCATCTGGGCCCAGGCCTCCCCCTTCTTTGGTGGGCTTAGGTCACATTAGAGACCCCCTCAGCAGTCACTGGAAGTCACACTTCTGACCTCAGAATGGTGGATGGAGAGATTGAGGGTGAGGAGGACCAGTTTAGAGACCCAGCCATGGATTGGAAGTGAGGCTGAGGTCTGCTGCTGTCCCAAAGCCCACGCGACTCGGCCCGTCTGAGCTGCCAGGGTCCCTGGAGACCAGCGACGCCAACCGTGCCTTTTAGCGAGGGCAGGTGGCTCTTTGAGGTCACAAAAGGAGCGGACAGCAGACAGTCGGAACTGAGCGAGAGCCTAAGCCCATCTGTGGGGCGGGCACTAGACTGCTCCCTGAAAGGTTAGAGGTTCAAACTCATCAGCCACTCTGTAGGGGAAAGCCAAGTCTCTGTCCCTGCAAACATTTCTAGTCTCAGAAACCACATTCAGGGTCAGTTGTGTAGTGCTTACAAGTTGGGCTGCTAATAGTAGCAAGGTCAGCCGTTGGAAACAGCGAGCTTCTCATCTGGTGAGAGATGAGGCTTCCTGCTGTAAAGGGCAACAATTTTGGAAACCTACAGGGGGTAGGTCTACTCTGCCCTGTAGGGTCGCTGTGAGTGGGGTGGACTACACCTGTGGTGGTGGGCTTTCTTGAGGGCGAATGTTCCTTATTTCCAGAAGGGAGCGCTGTGGCACAGGTAATCCCAATGGTAGCGCTCCTAGGGGGTCCGTGGCCAGGTGGGATTGACTAGGGTCTTGGGCTTTCTGAGCTTGTAATGCACGGGATTTGGCCTCTGTGCAGCCAGTCAGCAGCGTAGGACATGTGTCCCTGGAATACATCTTCCCATAGTCCCCACGCCAAGCCTTAGTGACTGGGAGCTGGGCTTAGAACCCCCAGGAGAAAATAGGCACTGGTTGGGGGGGGTGGTGAGGAAGGGAGGCTGGGGGAGACCTAGGAGCTCTGGTGGAGCAGTGGTTATGCGGTCAGCAGTTTGAAACCACTATTGCCTCCTTGAGAGAAAAGCGGTACCTTTTACTCTGGAAAGAGTGACCATCTGGGAAACTCACTGGGGCAGTTCTACCCTGTCCTAGAGGGTCGCTGTGAGTGGGCATCGACTCCATGGCAGTGGGTTTGGTTTTTTCGTTTGGTGGGAGACCTGGGGGAGTTCTGGAGCTGGGGATGGGGGGTGGGGGGTGGTGGAGAGAGGGGAGTTGGGAGGGGATGGGTGCCCTTCAATCTGTGAAAAGCCCTGATTGCCGGCCGGAACTGGAATACAGTGTGTGGGTGGGAGCAGGCGCAGAAGCAGCAGGTACCTCCAGCTGCTCCCCCCTCGCCCACCCCAGGCCCCAGCTCCCAGCCCCCAGCTGGGCTTCCCTGGGAGTGGGGCACACAGATGGCAGAGAGGAAGGTGGGTCTCTGGGATGGAGCCTGAGCCTGCGATCCTGAGGGGGCCGGGTGGAGGATGCTGTTTGCTGGGAGGCCTGGATCTTGACTGCATGCCCCTTGCAGGCGAGTTGTACATTGGCGGTCTGAGCAAGAACATGTTCAGCAACCTGCCCAAGTTGGTGGCCTCCCGGGATGGCTTTCAGGGCTGCCTGGCCTCCGTGGACCTCAACGGGCGCCTCCCCGACCTCCTGGCCGACGCCCTGCACCGCATTGGGCAGGTGGAGCGGGGCTGTGATGGTGAGTGAGTGGGGCCTGGGCCAGCTCAGGGTGACCCTGTGGGCTGCAGCAGGAGGGACAGCAATGTGGCCGCCCTTCTCATGGCCCATGGAAGCTCGGGTGACAGCTGGGTGGAGCGATACCTGCCTTTTCTGTGGTCTCCCCCCACCCCTTGCTTCTTACCAAAGTCCCTTGCCGTCTCCACGCCTCCCCGGGAGGGCGGGGGCTTGGCTGAGTGGGGGGTGCCCTTGTCCCGTCTCCTTCAGGCCCCAGCACCACCTGTACCGAGGAGTCCTGCGCCAATCAGGGCGTCTGCCTGCAGCAATGGGATGGCTTCACCTGTGACTGCACCATGACTTCCTATGGCGGCCCTGTCTGCAACGACCGTGAGTGCCACGGGGCTGCGGGGGTGGGCAGGGAGGGCCTCAGAGAGCCGGTGGCTGGGCCCCTTCTTGTCCTGAGAGCCCCTGCAGCGACTGCTCCGTGCCCAGATCAGAGTCTCCTTTGGGGTCTGAGCAAGGTGGGTGTGCTACTCTTAGAGCTGGGAGATGACCCCCCACTAATGGATGGGTCATTAGACACGGCTCCCCAATGGTGTTGGTCTCCCGGGCCCAGCTGGTAGTGTCCTGCATGATCCTGAGGATGGCCTGCCATGCCAATGCACCTCTGTCCTGTGGGACTACTTGAAGCCAGCAGTGGTGGCCCCCTCTTTGCTACCCAGATGAGGCTGCACCTGGGGCCAGGCTCAGGCCCCCCACCTGCACCCCTG